TGATCGTCAAGCACAAGGACCTAGGTATACGGTTGGAGATCGCGTCTGGTTACGCCGCCCAATGACGTCGCTAGGGGGTTGCAGTAAATTCCATCAACCCTGGCAAGGCCCCTTTGAAATTGTCCTCATCCGATCGCCCACCACGTTTGTATTGCGTAACATACAACGACCTGAAGACGATGTGATAACGGTGCACTACAACCAGATAAAACCCGATCGGACAACATTTTCCTTCGATGCTCAACTCGCTGATCCACCGCCGGCCACTAGATTTTACGAAGTACCACCTGAAGGAGGGACAGCATACCCGTGCCCAAGATCAGGCACTGAGGACAGTGCCTCATTAGGAGAGGGGGCGATGTAACGGGATTAAAATCATCATGTATGATGTTGTTAATAGATTTTGTTTTCTTTCTATTGCAGGGCAAGCAAGAATAAACGCTTTAGAAGAAGAAGAGCAAGCCCTGCACGCACTAAACTTACATGATGACTCATAAGACCGTTTGTAAACTAGCTCCCCCTTCTGTACAGGACCCGCGAATTTTAATTTGAAAAATAAACGTCTATTGGCCTCCGTTCCTCGTTCTCTCTGTGGTGTAAAGTGTTCAGTTAACATTGTGTGTGTTGTGGCTTTAGGTTTTCCCGTCTTCCAGTGACTGCTGATTACACGTGTTACAACTGGTGTCGGAGGTGAGATGGAAAAACGCGATGAGAACCTAGACGAACCCCCTTTGATTCCAATCAGGGCTACTTCCAGTTCAACCCCGCATCAACCACCACTGCTCGAAACATCATCAGATTACTCCGTTTGGAAGTTTAAAGTCACAGCGTACCTGCAGAGAGTTCCATTATCCGAGCATTTCAACTACCTTGTTTCCTATCTGAGTGATGATGCAGTACGCAGGGTTATAGCGAACGGGTTTGCGGCCAGTAACACGCTCCCACAAAACTGGAGAATTCTGGACGACTGTTTTTCCTTGCCCGTGGACACCCAGCAAATGACAATTCAGTTTTTATCACGCCACCAGAAAGCGAGCGAGAGTCCAGTAGACTACCTTCATTCCCTACAGCAAGTTGCGGTACAAGCATTCCCCCGGTTGGATATGATGGGACGAGAGGAACTAATTCGCTCACGTTTTGTTGAGGGCCTGTTACCCGGACCACTCAGAGAACACTTCCTTCGAAATCCACCAACGGATACGTCTGACGTAAAGAGAACAACATTACGCTTTCTGGCCGCTGACAAACTAGTGAATGTATCCAATGCACATTCATCATCGGTAATGACTGTGGAACGAGCCACAAAATCTAGTGGTCCGGACACCTGCCAGACTACAATAGCTGTGACCGACCTTCCCGGCCGAGGTGCTATCCGCGGACAGTCAAATTTGAGATGGAACAAACAACCAGCATGGAGAAATTACAATGGGCGCCAAGCCGACTGTATATATTGCAAAAGGTTTGGCAAGAACGCCAAAAGATGCGGTCACAACCGCCCCCGGAAACCAGGTAAGCAGTGTCGTTTACATATATCGTCTTGCTATGTTAAGCATTTGTGCCCTGTTACTATTAAGGGTAGAGTGCAAAGTACTGAGATTAATATACTATTAGATACAGGAGCTTCAGTATCCTTGATCAAGGAAGACCTCTTGCAGAAACTTAACCTCAGCACCCAGCGTAAACAACGCTCTTCTACGTTAATTACCGCGAGCGGAGAACCCTTGAAAGCGTGTTCTCAGATAGGGTTAGAGCTGACGATTGACAAGAAGCCTTTTCAACATGAATTCTGGGTTTGCCCCACACTGACTTGGGACATGATTCTCGGGGTCGACTTCATGTTAAAATACCAGGTCTCTATACACATGAATAAGTCAGAAGCGAGTATTGGTGGAGTTGTCGTACAAATACAACACCATGAAATACCAACTAAGTCCGTAGCCCAGGTGGGAACTGCCGAGATTGTACGTCAGGTACGAGATAACCAATTAATAAGTGAAAAGGACCGTCGGGCTACCATTGACGTACTCCAACGATTTAGCACTGTTTTCTCGGAGAACATCTCTGGAAATCGGACAACCATTGTGCAACATTCCATTGTCACAGGTGACCACATGCCATTACGCCAACCACCTCGTAGGGTCCCGGTGCATTATCAGCCTCATTTAGAATCCATGATAAAAGATATGTTAGAAAAAAAGATTATTGTACCATCTTCGTCACCCTGGGCATCGCCAATTGTCTTAGTAAAAAAGAAGGATTCCTCCCTACGACTGTGTGTAGATTACCGGCGCCTTAATGCTATAACTAAGCGGGATTCCTTTCCACTTCCACGGATAGACGCTACCTTAGATGCCATGAAAGGTGCTCGCTGGTTCTCAACGCTAGACTTAGCATCCGGGTATTGGCAAGTGGAAGTCCGACCCCAAGATAGAAAAAAAACTGCATTTGTAGTGCCTAATGGCTTATATGAATTTCAAGTAATGCCTTTCGGGCTAACTAACGCCCCAGCTACCTTTCAACGATTGATGCAGACAGTTCTGCAAGGTCTCGTACCGCACCAGTGCTTAATCTACCTTGACGATATTATTGTATATGGCAACACGCCAGAACAACATAATGCCAATTTGAAGGCAGTCCTACAACGTATTAAGCAGCATAACCTAAAAGTGAAACCATCTAAATGTCGACTATTGCAAAAAGAAGTGCTTTTCTTAGGGCACCGCATTACAGAAGATGGAGTGGCAACAGATAAAGAAAAGACACGTGTGATTGTTAATTGGCCGCAACCAAAATCACCTGAAGACGTTCGTAGCTTCCTTGGGCTAGCTTCTTACTATAGACGCTTCGTACGTGATTTCGCATCATTAGCAGCACCTTTACACCGATTAACCCACAAAGGACGAAAATTTTTATGGACCAGCGAGTGTCAACAGGCGTTCGATGCTTTGAAGGCTCGATTAACTTCTCCACCTATATTAGCCTTCCCAGATACGTCAGCAGACGGAGGCGAATTTATACTCGATACGGATGCTAGTTCCTCAGCTATTGGAGCAGTTTTATCACAAGTAGCTCGAGATGGACACGAAAGGGTCATTGCGTATGCTAGTCGACGATTAGATAAGACTGAAGCACGATATTCTACAACACGTCGGGAGATGTTAGCACTAGTAAAATTCTTACAACATTTTCGCCATTATCTGTTGGGCAAACCCTTTCGTGTGCGCACGGATCACCGTGCACTGCAGTGGCTACGTTCTTTCCGCGAACCAGAAGGGCAAGTGGCACGCTGGCAGGAGAGACTACAAGAGTTCGATTTCACATGCGAGTATCGCCCAGGAAATCGACATGCAAACGCGGATGCACTCTCCCGAATACCCCAGACCACAGAGATTATTAACGCAATTCTTAGTACAGCTCCAGAGACAGATTGGCCCTCCCTACAAGCAGCAGATCCAGACTTACAGATTGTTTATCAGAGACAGCTACATGGAAATAGTAAGCCATCCATGAGGGAGCTTAAAGATCAATCCGTAGCAACTCGTCGTATCTGCACCAAATGGGGTAACTTCAAGCTATATGGTGACACATTATTCCTAATGAATGAATCAAAACAACCCCTACTGATAGTACCGCGAGTGAAAGTTGAGAGTATTGTGGAACAGGTACACCGCGAACTTGGTCATGCGGGAGAACGGAGAACGGAACACGCTGTTCGTCAACGCTTTTGGTGGCCTTCTATACACGAAGATGTAGCTCAGTTTTGCAAGAATTGTAACACGTGCTGCCGTTTTAAATCGCCTCAGCAGACACCCCGTGCACCAATGACGCCGATGGTAACGACAGGACCACACCAGCGAGTTGGTATAGACATCATGGGACCACTAACTACGACAAAAAACGGGAACCGCTACATACTGGTTATGGTGGATTATTTCACTAAATGGTGCGAAGCTGTACCCCTTCCACAGCAGGACGCCCCTACTGTTGCCCGAGCTTTCATCGATCACTGGGTCTCCCGTTATGGTGCCCCTGTCTCACTCCACTCCGACCAAGGTCCAGCCTTTGAAAGCCACCTCATTACTGAGATATGCCGGCTATTAGGAATCAAGAAGACACACACCACTGCCTATCACCCAGAAGGTAACGGCCTCGTAGAAAGAACAAACAGAACTATTAAAGCCATCTTGCAGTCGTTTGTCAGCAGATCGTCACCGGAGTTATGGGATGAGGTGCTTCCCCAATGCCTTTTAGCATATCGTACGTCGGTACATGGGTCCACGGGATTCTCGCCTGCTATTTTGCTGTTCGGGCACGAACTACGCCTACCAGTAGAGATACAGTCACCCCTGCTGCCCTACGAAGAACAAGAGCATGTTCCGTACATACGTACTCTCCGCAACCGACTAGCTGATGCCTACCGTCTGGTCAACATTAACTTAGGCAAGGCCAGTGGACACCAAAAAGATATATATGATCGTCAAGCACAAGGACCTAGGTATACGGTTGGAGATCGCGTCTGGTTACGCCGCCCAATGACGTCGCTAGGGGGTTGCAGTAAATTCCATCAACCCTGGCAAGGCCCCTTTGAAATTGTCCTCATCCGATCGCCCACCACGTTTGTATTGCGTAACATACAACGACCTGAAGACGATGTGATAACGGTGCACTACAACCAGATAAAACCCGATCGGACAACATTTTCCTTCGATGCTCAACTCGCTGATCCACCGCCGGCCACTAGATTTTACGAAGTACCACCTGAAGGAGGGACAGCATACCCGTGCCCAAGATCAGGCACTGAGGACAGTGCCTCATTAGGAGAGGGGGCGATGTAACGGGATTAAAATCATCATGTATGATGTTGTTAATAGATTTTGTTTTCTTTCTATTGCAGGGCAAGCAAGAATAAACGCTTTAGAAGAAGAAGAGCAAGCCCTGCACGCACTAAACTTACATGATGACTCATAAGACCGTTTGTAAACTAGCTCCCCCTTCTGTACAGGACCCGCGAATTTTAATTTGAAAAATAAACGTCTATTGGCCTCCGTTCCTCGTTCTCTCTGTGGTGTAAAGTGTTCAGTTAACATTGTGTGTGTTGTGGCTTTAGGTTTTCCCGTCTTCCAGTGACTGCTGATTACACGTGTTACACAAGGTTGTGAGTCACTTTTGTTTGCTGCACAATTTGGTTTAATAGAAGAAACGAAATTGAACAGAAAATTGACATTAATATTCGTAATAATAATGATGGAGCAGTATTTTTCAAATAAGTGTAGGACATTAGATTTCGTGATTTAAGAGCAAGACTAATAAGAGTCATGTTGGAAAGATCTCTTAATCCCCCTGTATTTAGGGAGAATTTTTCTCCGTTCCGGGAAAATTTTTAATAAATGTCACGAAAACGCGGAAATTTTCCCAAGTCTGCTGAAATTCCCTTGAATTTTGGGGTAGTGTTTCTTCAAACTTTGAGAAAACTGTTAATTGTCATTGAACTTTGGGGAAAACACCAAAATTGGGAGATTGCAATCTCTCATGAGTATAGTCTCATATGTGGCATTGTATTCATGTTGTCTAATAATTTATTCGTTATACGTCATCTAATGCAGTAGCAAAACTTGCACTTCTTACACTACTATAGCAAGAGGTAAGCGTTTTACTGACTGGTGAAATTTCTTGGTTTGGTAGTTGCCTACTTTTAAATTGCCCATTATATGAATTGGAATAATCTAGCGGTGGAGTAGTATGCGGAAATAGTATCAGTATGGTGTAATAGAGGTCCAAGTTACCTGGGATATCGCCTCTACATTTGGTTTTAATCATCTTCCATTTATATATGAACTTTGCCGCATAGACTCTTATTTCTCTTTTTCTTTTCGTCTCCGTTTTAGTCCATACTTAAGATATATTTTGTTCTTTAATCTAACATTTTGTGCTTTCTAAATATCACAGCTTAATCCAATGAAGTTATTAGCTTTTTCTTGTTCAACCTGTTTCATGTAGTTCTTAGTCGTATTCATTTTTATTCAGGTTTCTCAAAGTTAATATCGTGGTTCGACGCAATCGATAAACAACGTGTTATTCTCGATATCTTCTTGACTGTTCACTGTTACCAGAAGATCAATATCATGAATCTTTCTAAAGATCTTTCACCGAATGATCAAAATAATTTAAAGATATTACGTCAAGTTGAGTTTTATTTAAGCGAAGGAAACTTAAATCGCGATAGCTTCTTCAAACAGGAAATGCAAAAACGAGATGATGGTGGTATCCCAATAGATCTGCTGCTAAAGTGTAATCGTATGATCGCTATGAATGTCACAGAGGATATTCTAAAAAATGTTGTTGGAACATCAAAAATTGTGAGTGTGTCTAATGATGGTAAGTTACTTGCTAGCCGTGGTTTTAAAATTGATTGATGCAGTCTTGAAACTTGTTGGTAATTCTAATGAAGAAAAACTTGGCACATTCTTTGTCTCTTTAGTAAAATTTACGTTTTTTCTGTATCATTTTACTTATGCATAGTTTTAATACTGTGGTTGAGGTTAACTTGAAGTACTATATTCCTTTTGCTTAAACCAAACTAGGGTTGGCTATTGTCCGAGTATTGCCGTTATCTGAGTTGGGACCTCGTGAGAGACGAACTATCTTAGTTACAGGACTTCCACGTTTATCCGTCGGAATAACTGAAAAAGTAGGTGTGGACAACACTCCTCATAGGCAAAGTTCAAAACCAAGTGAAAATGAGCTGAAAAACATAACCTCAGCAAGTTGGGAACTTAGTGACTGGATTCGGAATGTATTTGAAGAATACGGTGAAGTCCTATTTGTCAGTTTACCTCGGTAAGATCTCATAAATTTACCGCTTCCTTCCCGGTTAACTTGTCCAGTATAACACATACATGGTCTTGGTTTTATCTGTAATTTCTCACAAATCAATTATCGCACACACTTTCCCATTTATGTGAGTCGTCGTTTTAGCTAGATTTGCTAAAATTTCTTTATAAACTTCATTTTACAACCTGTGACTTCCAGTCATCATATAGACCAATTGAACTGGCATCAAAAGACGTGTACTCAGTGAAGTAGACTTTTTATAGCAACATACCACGTTTATATACAAACCACTGAAGACAAGAATGTATACGATTAGAATTTAGTTAACAACTAGACGATTAGATCATGTATCAACTATAGACCATTCATTCTGAAATAAAATTAATTCCTAGTCACCTTTAATTCTTGCCATGCCACACTAGAGGTCCCGGAGGTCAATAAGGCAACTCTATCAAAATTTTTATATTGAAGTCGAGTATGACTGTGAAGAATAGTATGTTTCCAGTTGTCATGACCTATGGTAAGACTTCCTAATAAAATTTCAGAATATCATTTGACAGCTTATGTAGTTTGATGTACTTGTTTAGCCCCCAAATCCCGTGGTCCAGCTGAGGATTGGAAGGGTCCGATCTGCCTCTCGAAATGCTCCCACATGGTCACGCGCATACAACCACCACCAGGGAAGTTCTACTCACTGCCTTCTCGCGGCGGGGATGTTTACGAAATTGAGATAACAAAAACCGAATGTCCGGCGCTTTACCAGGGTTGCTGGATATGAAGGATCCATCTAGAGAAGTCGAAAAACTGATTCCAAACCACTGGTGCACATGGGCTCCAGTATGCTGAAGGAACAAATGGCGTATGAACCTATTGTTGGTCACCGACTACCACGAGACTGCATCTCCTGACTTTACTCCACTGTATTGTGGATCAGACCTTTAGGTCGCAGACTCCTGGTGTGGCCCCCTAAGAAAACCACCTGCTTCAGTTTAAGCACCCGGGCAGTATTCCAGCCCTCACACAAACCGAATGACGAAGTGGTGCTTCTTCGTACCAATATTTACGCGTTTGAATGATAATAATAATAATTAGCAGTTACTTCAAAGATAGCCTCTACCACAATTGTTTTTGGTTAGCGGAGTCGGGCGACAAAACCAATTGTGATGCACTTCCTACTGCATGATTTTGTTCGTTTCTGTTCATATCTGCTCTTCTTTTTATCATTATTTTCTCGTCTTTGCCACCCTCGTTAGTTCTTTATTCCTGTAATGATGTGAAGTATAGTGATGCATCTTGGACTCTGCCTAAAGCCAATATAAGATCTTTGTTCTTGAACTGGACGTATGTTGTCAAGTATTTTTAGTCTTAGATTTTTAGAATTTCCATTAATCCATCTGGTTACTCTATCAACATCATGGAACTACTTTAATTTCTGTATTAAAAACATAATCAACTCTTATAATGATCTGAGTAAGTAATCTTCGGATCCTGTTTCTCAAATAACAAAGTAAAGTTCATTGCTTAACTTATCTTTGTTGATACTTTTATGTGCTATAGTAAAGTGTAGCAACCTGGAATGGTGCAGTGCTTTGCGAGGTGTAAAGCTTGTCTAATACTTAGTGTCTAAATATTTAGTTCGTATTTATGGGCTGTCTAATAAGTTTAATCAATTCGTAAATCACTCAATTATTTAGTGGTAAACCAAAATTTTACCTCATCTTCGTTATTCATTGACTACTCTGTCAGGTTTTAAATATGGACACTAGTCTACATTGTTCATCATTGTGGTCAGTGCTGAAATCTTAGCGAAAATATGGAAACTAGACGTGGTGACCTCCACCATCGATGGACTCAGATTATATTGCCATTAACCATTGTTGGAGGGACCCGATGGGAATCTCGCTCATCTTGAAGCACATGTTTAGACTTGGGTCATGATCTAGTTCGATCACGTATATATCTGTGTCTTACTGGATGTAGAAAAGCCCCAACAAGAAAACTCCTTTAAGATCAATTTTAGGATTAAGAAGTTCAGAATATATTTTAGGAATAACTAGAGACCGAGCTAGTCAAGTGTGAAATGACCGTAAGCAGTGGTCGGTGACGAAAGCAGCAGATGTGGAAAAGGCAGCAGCGATACGTGACAGTAGACAACTGTGCAAACTTATCAAGTTAATAGGTATTGGGAATCCCATTGTGAGTGAAACTATCTCAAACGAAGACGAGACTGCTATTCACTCTCAATGCAGGAGATTGAACCGATGTGCAGAACATTTTAGGGAATGGTTCAACTGGTCTTCAGCCACACTTTAGTTGCCCACTATCTGGCAAACTGATGTAAGTCTTCCAACTCTTATTGAGGTTGAAAAAACTGTAAGTAATCTAAAGCAAGGCAGAGCCTTAAATACTATCCCCTGAGATTTCTAAGGATGGTAGTCTAGTTTTAGCAGTTAGATTAACTGAAATCTTGGCTAAAGTCTCGGAAGTGTACGTTATCCCATCTGACCGGTGTGGATTGCTGATCGTCCCAGTCCATGAGGAAGGACAAAAGTCCTTTTATGACAATCAGTTTAACTAATGTAGTGTCTAAAATATTAGCCTCAATAATACTTCGACGTCTGACTAGAGTGAACCCGAAAAAACCAGGCCATTTTCAGACTTGGACGTGGATGTATGGACCAAATATTCAGATTCCGGAACATGGACATACTTTTTGATGTCCGACTAGTTGTATTCCTCGACCTCAGGGCGGCGTCCAACTCCTTTGATCATGAGGTTCTGTGGCAGTGTCTGTCATTGAAAGGCGTACCAAATAAGTATACTAACATTGTACAGACTCTCCACTTGAACACTACTGGTCGAGTCAGAGCTGATGGCGAACTATCATCGGAATTGGTTGCTTCAAGTGGTGTTCGTCAGGGTTGTTCGCTTTCCCCACTTTTATTTCACTTCGTCATAGATATGCGTTAAGATATAACGCTTTCACCGTCTAACCTTTCAAGGATTGATCTTCCACCGGACAATATAGCTCTGATTGGTAAATATGCTGACAAAACGCAGTCTTCTGATCACCTTAAACAACAATTCGAGCATGTTTGGGATGCGGTTCTCTCCCTCCAAACGTGAAGTGCTACTTCGGGATTGGCTTTAGTCATCGCCTGAGTTAGTGACAGGGAGTGAAGTAGCTTGACGCATTGACCACTTCGCTTATGTTGGAGTCTTATTAGCCCTGACGGTCTGGTGTCCGACGAAGTCTCGATGTGGGTTTAGAAGGCTCGATTGGCTTTTGCTGACTTGTGGCGTAGGTAAGATGTTCGTCTACCAATCAGGTGACGAGTTTACTGCTCAGCAGTTCTCTCCGTCCTACTTTATGGATGTGAAACATGCCCATTAAGAACAGAGAATATTCGTAGGTTACCAGTATTCGATCACAGGTGTTTACGGAGCATTACTTGTGCATTTTAGGACCACGGAGTAAGCCATGACGGAGTTGTGAATAGAGTACTAGGTAAGGATTTGAAATAGATTGGTGAGGTATTAAATTTTCATCAACTGAGGTGGTTGGGACATGTGTTACGTATGCCTAATCACCGCCTACCTCGATGGGCGATGTTTTCTGGTGTAGGAGTAGGTTGAAAGAGAGCCAAGGGCGGCCAAACCGAAATATTTCATTAGTCCATGATGTCACTGACAGTTGGACTTAGCCATGTTGATAGGTGTAGATTATCCGGTTGGAGTCCTTGTGATTATCATAACTAATGATTAGACTTTGAATGACATGGCTTTATATCGTTTGTAATTGCGCAGGTGCATCCGTTTTTTGTTTTCCCCAAATCCTGAAATTCTAAATTCCTCATAACTATTTTGTTTTCATTTCACTAGTGTATAATTTCTCTTTGAGTCGTGTCGTTGATGCCTGATCTTTCGTGTTACCATTGATACTGTTACTACCTCTACTATTCTGAGATTTGGTCTGACAATTTCATCTCTCTGTGCTAATGGGATATGGCAACTTGAACCGATGTACATACGTACCAGGTTCTACGTTGTGATTGTTTGACTGACCTGGATTGACTCATTGCGTCTAATGATATCACAGTATGATGCCAGTGTAATCAAAGCTTTAGACTTGGTGTTTTTGCTTGTTGATACTCATCAGTAAGTCGTGTGTGGCACTTCAAAGATGCTGATGCCTTCTCAGAGTTGTGAGCCACCACACTTCTTTATCATACTAAGAAACGATAGCACTGAGATATTTCAGTTGCGATTGTTCAATTCAATCATTTAAAACCGTATTTGACAGACCATGGATTTAAATCGACTAACCAGAGTTCACACTATTAAGGTAGAATTCGATGTGCTGAACGTGATACAACGTGATATTTTTATTACCCAACGAACAAATGCACTGAAGACTTCATGGAAAATGTGTTGTGAACAATGATACCATACGATAATTGAATGCATAGTAGTAAATTTCCTAAATAACATAATATATAATTTTGTTAATTTTAGTTATCATCACTCTAATTCGTTCCGAGGATTTGCTTTCGTTGAATTCAGAATGTCTAAATCTGCTAGAAAAGCTGTTAAACACATGTGTGTTTTCATGGAAAATGAAAAATGGCTCGTGCAACCTACTGGTAAGTAGTTTATTTTCAACATTTTGTAGTTGTGTATCTTTCGAAATAGTTTTTTTTACTTTATGTGAAAAATGCTTGTTGTCCTTGATGAAACAGCCGTTTGCTTTCAAACGTGATCCAGTTTATTCGTTGAATAATGTTAGTCAGAAATAGATTGTATTAAAACATGTGGTTGAAAAATTATATTCAGGGAATCCAGAGATAAATTGCATGATAGCTCTACCACGAAGTTATATATATACTGGCCGCACTTAGACATCAAACTAAAGCAGCTCTCCCGTTAGTTTAACAAATGCTCACTAGCAACAAGAACACCACAAAAATCAGCTGAAGCCATGGTCAGTATCACAGTCACCGTTGCAGTGTATAAACTGACTTTGCTGTTCCACTTCATAGACAAACTTAACTTTTGTTAGTTGATGCGTACAGCAATTGGCCAGAAATCTCCCTCATCCAACTGCAAACTGCGCGGTCAGAAAATTATGTCAACTATTCAGCCGTTTCGCAGTTTACTTCTGCTATCTTCTCAGAATTTTGTTGGCACAACAAAATCAATCATATCAAACACCTCTATTCCATCCCCAATTCAATAATGAGGTCGAAAGCTTTGTTGATATATTCCAAAATGCCCTTCAAAAAATAAAAAAGGTGGAAACCACTGATCATATTTTTGAAAGGTTCTTGTTCATCTATCGTATGTGAAATCTAGTCCGCCAGGGGAGCATCAGTTCTCAAGATTGCTGGTACGTCTTTCTGACGTATGCCAAGTCATACGAAACCTAGGTTCAAAGTTTCCTTTTGACTATTTGCACGCACTCTACATCTTGATATTTTTTATAAACAGTGTGACGTTGTTTATTTTTATCAAATATCGTTAAACAACACTTGCGTTTTCCAACTTTGACTTTTGGTGGAGTGACCATTTATCTTGTTATTGTTTTATTATTTGAATTTATTTACAAAACAAATAGATACAGAAATATTGCTTTATTCACAGTGGCATCATTTGCAATTCTATTCCTAAATTCACTACGAATTTCTTATTATAGATTAACTGTATTCATCAAGATTATAACTCATGACTGACTAGCTGTGATTTACTCTCAGCTTAATCACTCAGATAAAAGTTTTGGATGGAGTATGTGGTTAGGCCTAAGTTCGTATTGTTAATAAGAATTTTACTTAGATCATATCTCCAAAGCATATTGTCCACCAGTTGGCTTTAATGTCCAGAGAGCACTCTTAATGTCGCAAATCCTGCATAATGTCATACATATACTCACGTGTTAAACTGGTTTTTAGCTAATTGGTGCGCACTACATGTATTATAGTTTTTTCACACTACCTTTCTGACGGTTGACCCTGAGGAAAGCAAGCCTTAACCAAACTAATTATCTGAATATGGTTTAATCATTATACCTCGGAAGAAGCATAACATTCTTATAATTCTCAAGGTAAGAACATTAGTGTTTAGATAACCACAAGCATTAAGTATATAATTTATACAAAGTAGTTTGATGACTATTTTATTTCGTAATAAAGTTTCGTTTTCATGTGTTTTCCAATTTACTTAATTCTTTTTATGATCTGTATGTTTATTAGAAACAAATGAAGTATCTGAGTGTCCAGAATCAGCATGGAAACCACGACTTGCATCTAAAGTTTCTTTTTCACCTCAGCAAATGTTAGCCAGACGGCATATTTGGCGCTGTTGCTCTCGAAAGAATAAACAACTTATTGCAGCGTTCAAACATTTACGTCAGGTTGGATACACTGCTAGCAATCCATGTGATAAGGAATGTAAGCTGAAATATATATTAAAGTATTTAATTATTATCTTAATATTCATAAAATTCATTGCATGTTTAACGCTTCCATTGACAAAATGGCAATTATTACTTACTTACGCCTGTTACCCCTCATGGAGGAGCATAAGCTGCCCACTAGCGCTCCCCATTCAACTCTGTTCTGGGAAATCCTTTCCAGTTGCCATTCATCCTCTTGATATCTGCTTCGAATTCCCGAAGCAGTGTGTTCTTCAGCCTTCCTCTTCCCCGTTTCCCTTCAGGATTCCAAGTTATCGTTTGCCTTGTGGTGCAGTTTGATGATTCCCGTAATGTATGTCCTATCCACTTCCAATGTCTTCCCAATTTCCTATTCAGTTGGAAAGTGGTTTGTTCTCTCCCACAGTAGGTTGTTGCTGATGGTATCCGGTCAACAGAAACTAAGTATCATGCGTAGATAATTGTTAATAAATACTTGTACGATTTTGATGATGGTTGTGGTAGTTCTCCAAGTTTCAGCTCCGTACAATAGAACTGTCTTGACGTTCGTATTGAACATTCTGACTTTGATATTAGTTGACAGTTATTTTGAGTTCCATATGTTCTTCAACTGCAGGAATGCGGCTGATGCTTTGTCAATCCTTGTCTTTACGTTTGTATCCGATACTCCTTGTTCGTCGATGATGCTGCCGACCTGGTACGTGAAAGTTTTCAAACCTTCCAGAGCTTCTCCATCAAGTGTGATTAAGTCGGTGTTCCCCGTGTTGTGTTTGAGGATCTCGCATTTTTCTTGGGTATGTTGAGGTCTACTGATGCAGAGGCTGCTGCTGCTGCTGCTGCTATACTGGCTGTTTCGATCTGCATTTGTTGGTGTGTTTGAGATAGAAGAAGGGCCAGGTCATCTGCGGAGTTCAAGTCGTGTAATTGGTTCCTAGCTGTCCATTGTACTCCATGCTCTCTCCGATGTGGAGGTCTTCATTATCCAGTCAACCACTAGAAGAAAGAGAAGGAGAGAGAGCAATCAGCCTTGTCTGACTCCGGTCCTCACTTGAAATGCATCTGTCAGCTGTCTTCTATACATAACCTTGCAGTGTGGTCTGTCGTATGAATTCCTTATGATATTGATGGTCTTCTCAGATGCACCGTGGTGTCGAAGAAGGTCCGATAAGGTCTAGATATGTATGTAATGTTGTTAAGTCACATATGAACAGTGTTCTTCTTTATCCACCATATAAATCCGATTACAGTAGCTAAACACTAGAAAAAATTGTTTCATTTTCCTGCATTTATGTCATCTGTGATTGTTATAAGTAGGTATTATTTATATTTTGCTTTATTCATTGGAATTTTTCTTTATACTTAGATTATTCAATTATACTTGGTGATAACTCTACAGAAGCTATACTGAATTATGTTAAAAACAATCGTACTTATGAACCATGTCAATCTAAACTACGTGTATTTCGTTATTCTGATTGGATATTTTGGAAGCAAAAGTTTTATCTGTGGCAACAAGCATGGATCGCAAGAATGCATCATAAAACTGAATTATTAATGACTAACAAAAATATTAGTAACGATGATGAATATGATGAGGATGCCACTATGGAAGAGGAAGAATGTTATCAAATAGATTCTGAAATAAATCGAAATTCACTGCCAGTAAAATGTTTAGATGAATCTTCAACTAGACCGAAAGCACTTCCAAATAATTTTGTTCCGAATTCCATTGTTCAGGTTAGGTTTCTTTTTTGTCTGTTTTGTCTTCGCTAGTTAGCTGTATTATTTCTCAATAATTAACCGTATTTCTTTTGAAGGAGTGATTCATTATCTACCCATAAATTTCAAAGAATATACTGTTAGAGATTAGTAAACGAACTCATTGATAATACTTCGTATCAAATAGCTTCGTTTTACTTTGCAATCTCATGACACTGGATTGATAGACATATGAATTATGTCATTGCAACTGATTCCGAACCAAGTTACTCAGCGTCTGCAACCATCAGTCATGATAATTGTGTGAGTCTTAACCAAGTAGCTTGCATCTACTCACATGACTCAAATCAACAATAAATAACTTTGTGAACTGATACCACGTTTTTTAATATTACTATTAGAATGATGACGGACAGCAAGGACTTCGTTATAATTGCTTCACTTTAATGTAACAGTCATACTTATTTGAGAATAGCGCTAATACTGTGCTAATTCCGTTGAAATTTTTATCAAGAGGTGGTAAACATATATCATGCTTATCATTTAGCAAATTTTTCATTCTCACTTGTACTTATTTTCGAGATGTGCAAAATTTCATTCAGTGATTACTCCTGTGATGGATTGTGTTACTTTTTTTTAGATATATTGGCCTTCAGTATTGATTCCCAAAGGAGATTCAGCAGATACACATCTGTCTGATGGTCTTGGTGATACAGTGATAACACCGAAGAAGTTATCATTTGCTCGATGTCTGCGTATTAGTCTAGAAAAAAATCTTCTTGTTCCATGTAATCTTTTAAAAGATGTTGCTCATGTAGATCCAAACCCTAACCAAAATCTATTGGACTCTGTTAACCAATTTGGGTGTTGTATAATACCAAATACTAATCTGAATGAATCACTTTCGTCAGATGAATTTGTTCCTCTTTTTATTCGAATGAAAAATAATAAAACTGCTCTGAAATTGGTACAATCTGTTAATCTTTCTACAATTCATGGAGTAACAGCACGTATTCTTGAAGGTCCTAGTGAACAGGCTTACTGTGATAATATTATCAAATCTAAGTTAAATGCTAGAGAACGTCATCGGACTTCACAATTAAACAAACGTCAAAAACAAAAATCTGCAGATCATCATCCTACATCATTCACTAATTGTATACCTCCAAGTAATAAGACTGATCACAAGCATATTGTATTCGATGAATAAATTTTCACACGCTTTTTGTACATATACTCCGAGATCTATTTTGCATACTAAACTCTAATTTTAAACATGTACACAGTAATACTTCTCAAGTTTTTTGCACAAGTAATTTTGTTTGAAATAGCTACTTTACAACGATATACTTGTTCATCAACTCCCGATCATAGCTACCTAACCCAGGTCCCTTAACAAGAAATATTCTTCCACAGTGTGGACAACCGGAAATTGCAACCGCCCTCACAATTCTATCAGCACTCAAGATCATCTTTCTAACAGTTAAGTCTCTCCCTCGCCTCTTAATAATCATACCATCCCCAAGGATAACTTTTCGTATATCTTTATCGTCACGCGTCACCGCTACTAATGATTTGAGTTCATGAAATGTTACTCCCGGTTTCTTGAAACCCTCTCTAAACTATATGTTAGAGCTTTTAATGTTTGAAACTTATACCAGATAATGCAACCGGATTCTTTAGCTAGGACTCTAAAATCTCGCGCCATCGAAATATAGTGTGTCTCCAAAACGCACATTCAGGATTCAAACACAGTTCATTTGATCTCAACTTGTCAATGTAAAAACTCGACACGATTTACTGTTTGAGTATCTGAAGACCCAACCGCTATTTACCGGGACCTCACTGGTATAGGTATATTATTAAGTTCAGAAACAGAACAGGCTCTGTTAGATTGGATTCCAATAGATAATCGCTTTTTCGCTGTCTGACTATACGGGACATTTAGAATTCGAGAAGATAAGGACACGCGCCGTTAGATTCTGATTGTCACTACCTACGCTCCCACTGACTGCAGCTCGAACTTAAGGATAAATTTTATAGAGAGCTGTCCAACCTCCCTCAAAAAGCTAAGCGCTCTGATGTAGTAATAGTGGCAGGTAACGTTAATCATCAAGTAGGTAAATTAAGCCAAACCAAGAGGCACTAAAGCGGATCTGACGATGCTACAGGTTAGTGAACAGATAATTGCGACCGCGTGTCGCAACTATGCTCAAATAACTCTATTTCTGACAAACATCAACTTAAAACAGGTTGAAACGACGTCTGACGTGCCGACCTCCACCATCGATGGACTCAGATTATATTGCCATTAACCATTGTTGGAGGGACCCGATGGGAATCTCGCTCATCTTGAAGCACATGTTTAGACTTGGGTCATGATCTAGTTCGATCACGTATATATCTGTGTCTTACTGGATGTAGAAAAGCCCCAACAAGAAAACTCCTTTAAGATCAATTTTAGGATTAAGAAGTTCAGAATATATTTTAGGAATAACTAGAGACCGAGCTAGTCAAGTGTGAAATGACCGTAAGCAGTGGTCGGTGACGAAAGCAGCAGATGTGGAAAAGGCAGCAGCGATACGTGACAGTAGACAACTGTGCAAACTTATCAAGTTAATAGGTATTGGGAATCCCATTGTGAGTGAAACTATCTCAAACGAAGACGAGACTGCTATTCACTCTCAATGCAGGAGATTGAACCGATGTGCAGAACATTTTAGGGAATGGTTCAACTGGTCTTCAGCCACACTTTAGTTGCCCACTATCTGGCAAACTGATGTAAGTCTTCCAACTCTTATTGAGGTTGAAAAAACTGTAAGTAATCTAAAGCAAGGCAGAGCCTTAAATACTATCCCCTGAGATTTCTAAGGATGGTAGTCTAGTTTTAGCAGTTAGATTAACTGAAATCTTGGCTAAAGTCTCGGAAGTGTACGTTATCCCATCTGACCGGTGTGGATTGCTGATCGTCCCAGTCCATGAGGAAGGACAAAAGTCCTTTTATGACAATCAGTTTAACTAATGTAGTGTCTAAAATATTAGCCTCAATAATACTTCGACGTCTGACTAGAGTGAACCCGAAAAAACCAGGCCATTTTCAGACTTGGACGTGGATGTATGGACCAAATATTCAGATTCCGGAACATGGACATACTTTTTGATGTCCGACTAGTTGTATTCCTCGACCTCAGGGCGGCGTCCAACTCCTTTGATCGTGAGGTTCTGTGGCAGTGTCTGTCATTGAGAGGCGTACCAGATAAGTATACTAACATTGTACAGACTCTCCACTTGAACACTACTGGTCGAGTCAGAGCTGATGGCGAACTATCATCGGAATTGGTTGCTTCAAGTGGTGTTCGTCAGGGTTGTTCGCTTTCCCCACTTTTATTTCACTTCGTCATAGATATGCGTTAAGATATAACGCTTTCACCGTCTAACCTTTCAAGGATTGATCTTCCACCGGACAATATAGCTCTGATTGGTAAATATGCTGACAAAACGCAGTCTTCTGATCACCTTAAACAACAATTCGAGCATGTTTGGGATGCGGTTCTCTCCCTCCAAACGTGAAGTGCTACTTCGGGATTGGCTTTAGTCATCGCCTGAGTTAGTGACAGGGAGTGAAGTAGCTTGACGCATTGACCACTTCGCTTATGTTGGAGTCTTATTAGCCCTGACGGTCTGGTGTCCGACGAAGTCTCGATGTGGGTTTAGAAGGCTCGATTGGCTTTTGCTGACTTGTGGCGTAGGTAAGATGTTCGTCTACCAATCAGGTGACGAGTTTACTGCTCAGCAGTTCTCTCCGTCCTACTTTATGGATGTGAAACATGCCCATTAAGAACAGAGAATATTCGTAGGTTACCAGTATTCGATCACAGGTGTTTACGGAGCATTACTTGTGCATTTTAGGACCACGGAGTAAGCCATGACGGAGTTGTGAATAGAGTACTAGGTAAGGATTTGAAATAGATTGGTGAGGTATTAAATTTTCATCAACTGAGGTGGTTGGGACATGTGTTACGTATGCCTAATCACCGCCTACCTCGATGGGCGATGTTTTCTGGTGTAGGAGTAGGTTGAAAGAGAGCCAAGGGCGGCCAAACCGAAATATTTCATTAGTCCATGATGTCACTGACAGTTGGACTTAGCCATGTTGATAGGTGTAGATTATCCGGTTGGAGTCCTTGTGATTATCATAACTAATGATTAGACTTTGAATGACATGGCTTTATATCGTTTGTAATTGCGCAGGTGCATCCGTTTTTTGTTTTCCCCAAATCCTGAAATTCTAAATTCCTCATAACTATTTTGTTTTCATTTCACTAGTGTATAATTTCTCTTTGAGTCGTGTCGTTGATGCCTGATCTTTCGTGTTACCATTGATACTGTTACTACCTCTACTATTCTGAGATTTGGTCTGACAATTTCATCTCTCTGTGCTAATGGGATATGGCAACTTGAACCGATGTACATACGTACCAGGTTCTACGTTGTGATTGTTTGACTGACCTGGATTGACTCATTGCGTCTAATGATATCACAGTATGATGCCAGTGTAATCAAAGCTTTAGACTTGGTGTTTTTGCTTGTTGATACTCATCAGTAAGTCGTGTGTGGCACTTCAAAGATGCTGATGCCTTCTCAGAGTTGTGAGCCACCACACTTCTTTATCATACTAAGAAACGATAGCACTGAGATATTTCAGTTGCGATTGTTCAATTCAATCATTTAAAACCGTATTTGACAGACTATAGATTTAAGTCGATCAGCCTAGTTTTGTATTGTTAGCATTACCTCAATTAGTCAATTCTCTTGTAATAATCTAATATATATTTACGATTTTTTCCCTGATATACATTTATTTATCTTGTATCATAACTAGTTTTTAAATACGGTATTACGGGCATAGTGTTCAAGGAATCTACTCAGTGTGTCGTATCATTCAATTTGTCACTTCCTTGTCGTATTCTCTTACTCAATCAAACAATTCAGGAAGCTAGTGACTGATATATATATATATATATATATATATATATATATATATATATATATATATATATATATATATATATTTCGTGTTACTACCTGTAGGAGATGCTTGAATATCTAGATGCTCTTTATGTTTGACCTTGATTACCAACTGCCAAAACTGCAGTCAATAAATGTCTATATTTTGTTTGTGGTGTTGGTAGCCATACAAAACACCTGCAACTGGTTTGTTAGTAGAACACTTACCAATATTTGAAGCATATCATCCTCAAAGTTGACAAGCCGTAGATTTACGTTGGTGCTCGACAGTGGACTTATCGTAATCAAAATGCTTACGCAAAATGGTTTCGCTAGTTTTTTTTAAAAAAGAAAAATTGACTTTCGTATGTCTAATTAATGTATGAAAATTGAAGACATCCCAAAATTGAATATAATTAAAGAACAACTTTTGTGATATAATGACGAATAAACGACGAAATATGTGGTTCAGCTCCCTTAGGTTTGTTTAGTGGACTATTTAATTATCAGAATTACACTCTACTCACTATATTATTCGAACAATTATTAATAAATATCCTTTTTGAACGGGTAGTGGTTATCGTGGTATTGAAGTTCACTGGGAATCTTAATACTGAAATGCAGATTCTTTCAGATGACGTGTCCAGGACAGGAATATAGGTGCATCTAGGATTCCACTATCCTAAATAATATAATCGAAACAATTTTAAACGATTCAATTTATCATTTTGGGAGATTTTACAATTTTGAGTTAGCTTTCATCGCTTGATATCTGCTGTAAAAAATCACTAAACCATAAAACACTCAATAGGTTTTTTGTCGTAGTTTAAGATTTCTCATTAGGTGTATATATGACTATTTCAGGGATCTAAAGTTTTCCTCGAAAAAATCCAGAGGGGCACTGAAATCGTCGTGAAACATTTTATCCAATCAGCATTCAATAGAAACTTCTCAGAAACACCTAGATCGTGAAGGATCAAGTGTCGCGTTTCTGATTGGATGATCGCTTCTCCTGCTATGTTTATTATGGTTCCAGAAGCTCAAGGTCATCCGAAATATTATAAATACTCTCGATTTTCTTCACATAAACGAACCATGGAATAAAGCGTTCTTATTACATTTCACGCTTTTTCTTTCGTGTTCAAGTTGCCGTTCTTTCAGAAGACCTGTCAACCATTTCACAAATAAGTTGGTTTCTAAATTTTTCAATAATTTGAAGAACAACATGCTGCTGCATCATAAGCTATGGACAACTGTGGCAAGTTGTTTCATAAGTTTGAAAGTGTCAGGTTCTCAAATCTGACCTATCGTTTTATTTCAACTGGGTTATCTTAACATCAATTTTTCAATCATTCACATTAATATGATCTCATAGATAAACATTCTGCCGTTTCTTTCAACTTCTTCGTTTGTGTTGGTCAAGGACTCCAAAACATTCATCTGAAATTGAGTCCTTGTTCAACATAAGACACAAACATTGTCCTGTCTTGAGACGTTTTACTAATTTACTGTCCTGCGTAGGATTCAAATGTAAGAAAAATTCCTAATAATACAGAAACTCGGTAAAAGTTAGAAGCAAAGTATACTATCTCACGAAATTGTCTACGTCATAAAATGTTTCTTGTTAAAGATAATGCGATTATTATTTAACAGTTCGAAAAAAGCTTTCATTATAAGTTTACATCATCTAGAGAACAAGTAAAGATCAGAAGAAATTATTTATTTCATTTAAATTTGAGACTTTTCAGCAATAATCACCGATCACCCTACACAGAAGATAAATATTAGACTGTCCAGTTTCGCGTTGAGTACGGTGTCATGAAATTGTATAACCGTAATCCAATAAAATACATTTTTAATAATATAAGTTAATAGTTCCTTTAAATTACTCATCAGCTACAAAGAGGGTGCAAAAGGATTTCTTGATTATCCTGTAGCATCTTTCCCAATAGTTTGCAAACGTAAAGTGCTATTTAAGAAAAACAATAAAATTTAACCTGTTTTATTGTGCTCTTGCGTACTTAGTAAATAAAAGCAAGTTAATATTCTTCCCTAAGGATCTCTATGTTCGTTCATTAAATCAATTAGTAATTATATTGTGTTTCTTTGACTTGTAGAAATCGAGAATCCAGTTTTTTGAAAGTTTAGATAACAAACAAACTGATATCATTATCAATTAAGTCTATCAAATGAATATTAACTTTAAGATAATTAAATGTAAACTAGTAAACGGAGTACAATCTTTTTTTTCATGCATCATTACAATTTTTACTAATAGTTTATGTATATATTCCACGGTCAAACTTGAAACATTGTTGATTGTTTATGAAGCTGGTTAGTGATGAAGTAATATAGATCTGTATTATCAGTGATCATTCAATAAATAAGATTCAACACAAACCTGTTACCTTGAAAGACTCACATTCCCATTGTAAATGGTAGAATCATTTATTTTGAATGAAATAACTCGTACTGTAGTGAACAAGAACACGGATGGGGACAACCGAATACACTTTGTACAAAATTACAGAGTATCTCTATAAAATCTGAGAACCATATATCAAATCGTTAATTTGCAAAATGTCCACCAATTGTTTCAAAATGCCTGAGACTTCATTGTTCTTGAATTTTTATACAAATTGCATTCTATTCCCGTTCTTGCTTTTTTGATCTTTCCCCATCTTCTTCTTCTAGACATTACATTTCTGACTCGCGTCATATACTACTTATATCAATATAAGTAGTACGCACCACACTACTACAAAAAATATGAGTATATTTCAAAGAAATAAGTGAACTTACATAATAATAACTACAACGTTTAAATAAGGTTTATTTATAGATCATTCTAGCAACGTATGAAAATATGATAATAGAATACATTAATATATTAGTTAACTATACCTTCATCAATTATATAAATAAGAAGTAAAAAGGTTACATTTAAACATGTCTATGTGAATATGAATCAGAATATAAACGTGGTGTTGAGGAAAGATTATGTTGACAATGTGAATAGTGTACTCCTGTTGAATTAGTTGTATGCTTATGAGTATTTACATTTTCTGTTGAATTTATCTAAAAGGGAAATATTTATCAAAGAATTTATTCAGACTAAATTTGATAGTTATTTTGTTTTTATCATGAAATGATATTGATGATCAAAATATTTATAAGAAATCATAATAAGTTAACCTGAAAATAAATTTGTGGAACAAATAAATTTTAAACCATTTACATAACAACCACCTCAACGTAGGACCAGGCACATATATGCATTGGTCCAAGTTCCCAAACCTCATTAGCAAAACAAGATGAACACCGGATTCATAGAAGTAGTTAATTCAGTGCTGGTAATATATAAAAGAAAGATTTTATATAAGGACATAATACATGGAGAAAAAATCAGTTTGTAGAAAGAAAGATATGAAGCTATTTTAATCTCATAGTTTAAGGGAAGACAGAAAGTGTATACACCTACGCGATTGTGATAGATTCTAAGCCATGTCACCAAGAGTCTCCAACCATTGGTTACGATAGTCACGCAAACCCCAACCAAGTAGTCTCCATCTACCAACATGGCTAAGACTAGAAGTGACTGATGATACATTTTGGTTTGGTCACCCCTAACTCTCTTCCAACCACACCCAACACTAATCAGCGTTGCGCGTCGTGGTAATCGATATTCAGACATACGTAACACGTGGCCCAACCATTTCAGTCGATGAAGGTTCACAACCTCATCAATTGATTTACCATCATTCCCTAATACTTACTCAGTGATCCCAGCAGATGCGAGCAATATATCTAAGATATCTGTGATCAAATACTAGTAACTTACGAGTTTCCTATATTCTAAATGGCCACGTTTCGCTGCCGTAAAGTAGAACAGAACGAACTACCGAGCAGTATACTCGTCCCATAATTGAAAGATGGATATCTTGCCATCGCCATAGGTGACGTAAAATGGCGAAAGCTAAACGAGCTTTTCGAATCTGTGCTGAGATTTCGTTAAACACCAACCCATTAGGGCTGATTAGACTTCTAAGATAAGTGAATTTGTCAACGTGTGCGACTACTTCACTACCTATCCAGTATTGAACTGATATAGTAACAAGAATTAACTATCCGTTTTGTTTATTGAAAATAGAAGTTCAGTCACGATATCGTTAAACTATCCATGTTCAATTATTCAAGTTCAGTGTCGAATAAGTGAGTAATCAAGCTACTTAAAATGATCTTGTCTGATAAAATCAAAAAAGAAGAACTGACCTTTCTTACAATTAAAATTTTATGGTATACTAAAACTCGAGTCTTTTTTGACAGTTATTTAACGGACGTTTCTCATACTTCGCTGAATCGTAATATATATCATAATATTAACAGTCCTACTAAGTGACCTGATCACAATACGATTCAGAATTCTCATTATGAGTTTCAGAATGAGATATTTAAGTGAATAGTAGTGTCTCATTCAAAAATATGTGTTTAAACAACTCAGCAACCGTGTACAAATCCACTTTCTAATCTTTCAGTTACCCTAATATGCTAAAGCTAGACATGATCGTGACCAGCAAACTTGATTCGGTTGAGTGGAGTTAAAACATAAAATAGCTATACTACTTATACCAATGCATCATGTTTATGTTTTCGTAAACATTCTGCATTTGATAGATTAACTAAAAAGCAATAACTTATGTAAAATATGTTATATTAGGAAATATGTTATCCCAAATTGTAGTGAACGAGGATATGAGTGGGGACAATCGAATGTACCTGGGCACAAGATTAAAAATATCTGAGATCTATACAACAAATAGTTAATTTGCAAAATATCAATCCACCGTCTCAAAATTGACAGTTCCATTGTCTCAGATTTCATTGTTCATGCGTTTTCATACCAACTGCGCTTCGTTCCTGTTCTTTCCTTATCAATCTTCTACGGAAACACATCCTATCCCTGACCATCGTTATATACTACTTATGTGGATATAAGTAGTTGTTCAACTATTATATGAAGTACAAACAGCTTTAAAAAAGATAAGTGAGAAACATGAGAAAAGTATAAAATAGTTTACCTGATTACCGGTTTGATGTCGGTGAACTAAGATATTAACCATAGCTGTAGAACCATTTGGATAGCTCCCAGTAGGTATTCCATGCTGTACAGTTTGAGGTCTTGGATATGATGATAATTTATTTTGTTTCACCGTAGAATAAAAACGATTTGATGAATTTCGTGAACTTAACATCTTTTTAGCATTTTCAACTGTCGTATGAGTTTTTCCATCATACAAGCTGCGGTCGGGTTTTTCATGTTTAGAATTCGTAGAGTTTATATTGATTCGAAAAGATGTGTCGTAATTTTTGTTCGGAGCTAAATCTTTGTTTGGTAACCATTTGTTATCCTGCATTTTATAGAAATGAAAATGATCCCAGAAGTTATCAAAATACAGGGACGTTTTCCAGTGAATACAAATATTTCTATAGTCAAACTGAGCACATCTTTCAGGTGTATCCAGAAATCAGAAAAAATCATCCCACATTCTATTCGATGCTTTACAATACGATACTGTGAGATAGCAGTGAACAAAACCACCGAATTGAATGAATTTAGTGTTATTCTGGTACATTCATTTAGTGACGAGACATATGTATCACGATATACTATCAATTTGGAGACCACTAGATAAGTTATTTCTCTGAAGTCTGAGTTTTAGGATCTCTGTAAACTACTGATTTCATTTATTAATTTAAACACATAAACATTGGTACAAAGAGGCACCAAATATATATGCGCCACACATATCTCATCTGATATGTGTGAGGGCTGTGATACTGTCCGGGGTCCCGATCCGAAACAGGTGATTTTCTTAGGGAGCCACACCAGGATTTTTCGATCTAAAGGTCTGAGAAACGTCAGGAGATGCAGTCCCATGGTAGCCGGTGACCAACAATTGGTTCATACGTCATTTGTTCCTTAAGGATACTGGAGCCCATGTGCACCACTTGTTTGGAATCAGGTTTTCACAACTCCTCTAGGTGAACCGTCCATATTCACCAACTCGGTTAAAGTGCCGGACATTCGCTTTTCGTTCTCTCAGTTTCGTAAACACCCCTGTCACGAGAAGGCAGTGAGTTGGACTTCGCTGGTAGTGGTTGTGTGCACGTGGCCATGTGAGATCATTTCGTGAGGGAGAGATGACTCTCTTCACTCTCGGTCGTACCAGGGCATTTGCGTTAAAACGTCCATGGAATTCATAAGCTTCAGTACTCAAACTTTTTCTATCTCAATAACAGGTTTTCATTGATACTATAATAGGTATCACTTACTGATGAAATTTATTTTTAAACATGGAATCATCGGTGCTTGATGTAAATATTTCAGAAAAAAACTAAACCACCTTAAACTAAACAACAACAACCATGTATCATCTTTTAAAAGACAAACAATCAGATAAAGTTTACATTAAATAAATTGTAAAACTATAAAACATTTCGGTTAAGGAAAAATGCTAGACGTAGCTTAAGTTTTTCAAAATGGATTTTATCAATTCCATTATATATTGAAATAATAATACTACTACTACTACTAAAACTAGTCGAAAAAAGGAATGTCAATGTACCTTACTTATAAGCCGCAATCAAGTTGTAAAATCAAGTTGTTTCCTTGTATAATAAATTTTTGTCATAATCATGCCACTTAATAACCTTAGTAATTTACCTTGCCTCTTACTAACAAATGATGTTTTTATTGTATTCCATGATACAGTAAAACAAAGGAAATTCATAAATTTCTTTGAGTAGTCTTAATTCATTGATGGGATTAGTTATTCTGTATTCAATGATAATAAATCGAAATAGAACATTATGAAATTTATATAAAGACAATAGAAAGGAAACATATAAACATTAGTTTGCTTTATTAAACAAATAGCATACCATCTGATTGTCATGTTCTAATTCACTTGGATCTGAATTAGATATTTTCTCATCAACCTGGTATGGTAAACTTTGAATTGTATGTAAATGACGATCATGCATCTTATATGTCGGTAAGCCAGATAAATTCAATGGATCGTTCTCACTGTAATCACTCTAAAATAAATTAAGTAACGCTGGTAATAATTGAATAAGTAGTAAGTTTTTTGTAAAAATTGATTTAAATTAAACACTTATGAAAAGTATTTTGAGTTATCTTGAGAAATTTGTTGACAGTATGTAATCCTTATTCGTTTTCCTAGTGATTCATCAAGCGATACTGTTTGGTGATAAAAACACTAAACTAACAATTCGATTTTGTAAAATGATCAATCTTCAATGAAAGAGACAACACTTGACAAAAATACGTAAGAACTTCTAAATATGGTATATTAAAACTCGAGTTCTTTTTTAACAGTTATTTAACAGAAGTTTCTCACACTTCGTTAAATCGTAATATACATCACAATATGAACAGTCTTACTAAGTGACCTGATCATAATACGATTCAGAATTCTCGTTATGAGAATTATAATGAAATATTTAAGTGAATGATAGTGTCTCATTCACTGCCTTCTCATGGTGGGGGTGTTGTTTACAAAATGGAGAGGACGAAAAATAAATGTCCGAGTTGGTGAATAAGGACGATTCACCTAGAGGAGTTGGAAAAACCTGGTTCCAAGCAAATGGTGCACATGGGGTCCAGTATCCCTAAGAAACAAATGGCGTATGAACCAATCGTTGGTCACCAGCTACAATGGGACTGCATCTCCTGACGTTGCTCCACTGTATTGTGGATCAGACCTTTAGGTTGAAGGATCGCGTATGGCTTCCTAAGAAAACTACCTGTTTCGGATTGGGCACCCGGAGAGTATCACAGTCCACGCACAAATCAAGTGACGTGCATGGTACATATGTATTCGCTGTCGCTTTGTACCAATATTTGTCATCTTATAATAATAATACTTCTAGATATTGGTTAGTTTTATTGTGGTGTATTTATTGCAATCATAATAAAAAACGAAGAAAAATAACTCCATGAACAGTTTGTTGATCGGCCCTACTTGTTCATATGTGATTTATCTTTCGTCCTTGTTGGGGTGATCCAGAAAATTGCTTGCAAAATACAAGTAAGCATCAGGAAACACTAAGAAGCGCTTCATCCAATCAGCGTTCACTTGGAGTTTTTACCAAAAGTATCAAGTAAGCGAATCGTCCCATGCAGAGGCTCTGATTGGTTGGCTGAAACACTGCTACTATGTTTAGTAGCATTCCAGAATCTTCTAGAGACCCAAGGACATTTAAAAATATTATAAAAACCCTGTATTTTCTGTATTGAAATGAATCTTGGAGTAAACTACTTCTCGCATACTTTAAGTCTTCTCTCTCGTGTTCAGGTTTCTCTTTAGTCCTAGCTTGGGGGTTACAGGGTAGCTTAGGAGACGAATATAGCGTTCAGTCCACAAGACTTATCAGTCCTGAGTACTTCATTAGAAGATAATGCAACACATTTAAAAATTAAACAAAAATACATTACTTAATATTCAGTAACCAGTTTATGCATCAGGGAAATTAACATCTGTTCTGTATAAGTCACTCAGAATATTACGTTTTATCTTCAAGTGTAACGTATGAAAAATATCTAATTATTTTCCGTACACATTAGTGCCCACTTTCAAAATTACGATATTACGCTACTCGGTCACTAATTAATCCAAAAGATTCTTTAAAGCTTACGTGCTTACAACTTGGAATACATGAATTCAATGTTTACGTTCTTCTCATTAAATTTCATTCTACAGTGTTATTCATTTTCATGGCTTTTAATACACCTGAATACAATCTGGTTTATTATATAAAAACCTATTACACTGTAAAATATATTGACGTAAAAGCTGTAGTCTATGTAAAGAATACAAGGGATTTTCTACTGTTCGTCTTTCTTGACAAAAGTAACTATCCTAAGCTACTGACATCCATCAGTAACATTTTATGATAAATAAGAACAGATTCACAGAGCAAACAGACTGTGATAATTATAATACACTGTCGTTTCCAATAGTAGGAATATCCAAGCATTAAAATCCTATTTTTAAAAACTAAGATTATTTTCCTTACATTACAGTGACCGCCTTTCGTAAGCCTTATATAGTATGATGCTGGATGCCTGAAGGCGAATGCGAGAAAGCTAGGAACTAAATTTTAAGTTCGTATGGATACCTATAAACTAATGGAAACTGATGATTTCTTCTTTTGGATTCAACCCCTTATAATGCAGTGCTACAATCATAGAAGTTATTGCTAGCCTATAAGAGTTGCGATTGACAGCCTATAGGACTGAGATATTTAAACCGAGTGACTACTATGTGGAAAGTAATGTCGCATCGCTCTATCCTCAGTGGACAAATAGTGTATGGAAAATCCCATAATAACAACAGTATATGTAGTAAATTCACCTACGTTCGTGATTTTTAAGCACTAGCCTTAATCGTTAATGGCCACTGACAATGTAATATCATATGTTAACTTTGACTTTGGACAATGGTTAAAAATAATGTCAAATGTTAGAAATGAATTGGATCTACAAATCGCGTAATTTTTTGACAAATCTCGTTTAATTTAGTGATTGGAATTTTATCAACATTTTTAATTGGATTTGTGTCTAGATCTTTAATAATTAAGGTACATTGTTTGCTTTTGGGTTTAAAATCCAGCCTTAACAAATGGATTTTTGTTGGTTACTAAATTTTGATAATAGGTGCTTAAGAATAATATTCCAGTATGTTTGTGTTGGGGACGATAGATCCCCAAACTCATATTTTGAATTTTATCGCATCGATCAACTTATTGATTAAACGTTTAAATATTTGTATTGGGGTCAATTGATGAACTGATCGATTAATTGTTTGAATAGCAGTCAATTGATGAACTATCGATTAAATGCGCAAATAGGTCAATTAATGAACTCATTGATTAATGTTTAAAAATTTTCTATCGATTGTAAATAATTGTATAAATACGCTTGACTTGTATGCTTGATGTGATCTGCCTGCCTGACTTGTTATCTGCTGTTTGTCTGTAGAATACACTTTCTACGCCTTACCAAGACTTCTTGATCGAGTTAGCTGAGTCGAAGACAACGGACCAGAATAGCTATCGAGTCTCTGAATCCTGAGCCTTCGTTCCGTTCCGAATAAGTCGAATCAGTAGTATCCTCAAGGTTAACGAACCTAGCAGTTTGGACCATCGAGTAAGCAATACCGAAGTTTAATACAGGGTGACGGCGAAGATTTGTAGCTCAGGTGGATGATTTTGACGGAGATAGAAGTCTATCTGAAGTTTGTGCTGATGATGTCGTTCAGAAGAACGATGAAAGCTCCACGACCAGACCATCCAGCTCAGAGAACAAAACTCCGTCAAAATGTAATACAGGGTATTAGATAAAGATGGGCAGTCAGTTGATGAAGCAGTGAATCTCCATCGATTGAAATGTTTAGGACACACTACGTGTTCCTAACCTCCGATTACCTCAACGAGAGATATTAGCTTGCGGATGAGTAGGTTGGAAGAGGCCTAGGGGCGGCCTAACCAAGATGTGACATCAGGTCTTGAAATCATCGACCGAACTGTATTGATAGGTCCAAACTAACTGGTTGAGGTCAGTGCAATTATCGTGACTAACGGTTGGAAACGCTGAATGACATTATTCTTAATCGATCAAACCGTCCAGGTATACTTACCCTATGTCTCCTCTTAGATCTTAGGTTTTCAAACTGATTTATTCCCTTTTATTTCGCGAACTCACAAATCGTAGAATCGAATTCCGTATGTCTATTCCTTTCTACTGCCATGAGTGCGGCTATCGTTTCTAATATTCTAGTATTTGTCTTGATATATTGATCTTGTTGTGCGACCGTAAATTAAACCGATACACGTATTTGCCAGGCTCTATGCTGTTTAGAATTGATAGGGAAAGTTCGTTCACAGTTTCCCAGGTCTTTTTTAAATATCGTACAGTTGATTTCAATCCGTGATGAAAACTGACTTTAAAAAATAATTATGTAGACCGTGAACTCACTGATGAAGTGTTGTAAAATATTTAAAACTTTGATCATGATTTGAAATGAGATCATTGGCAATTTCGAGTTATATCTCACAACTTATCCAACCAGTGAATTTTAAAATTCATGAGACTTTAACAGAAAAACTCACAATTCCGTAACAGTAATTCAGATGATGAACTGAACAATAATAATGAGATCTGAAGTTTTTTGTTTGGTGACATAAAAATTCACAGATTTTTTGTTAAGTGCAGACAATGTACTATAAATAAAAAAAGGTGAACACATCGATGAAATTAAACATAAAATACATTCAACAATATAACTCACATGACCTAACCAACGTTCGCAAATTTCCGTGGAATGACTAAGTGGTTTTGCACAGTTGCCTTTTCTTACCACATTACTATAAGATGGTTCAACATTACGAATTGTATCTCTTGGCCATGCCTCCATAGAATTCTGTCTGTTCTGATTAGAGAACTCAGTGTCTTAATAAATATAAAGGACAATTGGGATATTCAGTTTATTGTATAACTACAGTAATACTGCAGATATTTACTCAGTTAAGGCCAATCGAATGGAATATACAGTTTTATTCTTAAGGGTAAATATTTTTCTATATATTTATGCTATGTATGGTGACGAGGTGAATTTATGTCGATCATATATCGCATTTATACACCCGGAGATTTCTAAAATATCTGATAACGTAAAACCAGTCCAATAAACGACAGAAAAAAACACCGACTGACTTTTATTTCCCATTTTGAGCTTGTTTCATAGTGAATAGTTTTAACACTTATCGCTATTGAATTCATGAAGTTTGACTAGATTACATATTAAGGATTGCGTGAAAAATCAATCGTTTTACAAACTGTCGACTAAGCAACTATGCATTGTCTAAAATCGACTGAGTTTGAGTAATAAACTTCCTAAGTTTTGCTTTGTAATGTTGAGTCGCGATGAAAAAACTATGCTGAGGTCCTGCATACAAACTTTTCAATCTCTCTCCGTGGTAGAATTATGCAATATACAAAGTCAGAATAAGTTACATAAACTATGCTTCAGTATTGAACTTATTGAGAAATGTGAGCTTGATGGATCTTATTAAGAAGAGTTTGTTTATACGAGAAAACAGTTATCCTACTCATTAAAAAATGGATCTTTCCTTTTCGCTTTATTTATTGTTAGAAACTACGAATATCGTCCAGACAATTTTTAGGGTAAAGTAAATTTTGTAAATCAAAAACATATGCACAAAATGAACTATAAAAACTATATCAAGTTTATCTAAAACTAACTTCATCATTTGTAGCGTAAATTACGAAACACATAAAATTGGCCAAAACAAAACTACAGCACAATGCCTAAGCGCGTGCGGACACATGAATACATCTAGACACCATCAACTGCACTAGAACACGCACACACAAGCAAGCGAAGCAACAATGACCTTCAACCTATTCAATACTTACGATAGCCGTTTGTATGTTGCAGCATTAAGGCTAAAACTTTTGTATACTCACTACTTTGATGAGTGGCTTGCATAATATGATCAGCTTGTATGTTGAAAATCATCTCATCTGATTGATTGTGAATCGTTTTATCTAAATGACAACCGTTTAATTTCTTCGATGTCAACTGAGCCAATTCCAAATGATCATCTGTACAATAATTTTTGTTTAAAATTTGCGAATCAACAGTCAACTTTTTATTTATAAATTCTTTATTCAAATTTGGCAGAGTTTCATTGAATACAGCCATTGTTTCCATATTTAATGCACAGACACCACGCATTAATGCTGTTTTCAGTGCAGCTTGTTCACCGGCTTGTTTGGCTTTCATTGATTCTAATTCACTTTGACTAACTTTTAACTCGGCCTCCAGCTAAGTATTTTTAAACAGAAATACAAAGAAATGCATATAACAGCAAATGAATTGGTAAATTTTTACAAGAAATATAATCTCCAAACTAATTCATTGTGAATATTTATAAAAATAAATCTATCAAGTTGGTACTTTGTTTTTATCTTAACAAAAAGTAGTTAGCTACCTTAGAATTTTTATAAATATGATCTTTACACACATTACTGTTAATAGAATGGTCATTTAAACTATTGTAGTGAACAAGAACATGAGTGGGGACAATCGAATGTATTTGACACGAAATTACAGAGCGTCTTACTAAAATCTGAAAACTGTACAATAAATCAGTACAGGGGTTGTGGAGATTATCAAGTTTTTGATTGAGATCATGAACCGATTGACGTTAAACCACCGTTGGAAACTTGGAAGCACTGAAAGACCGTTTCGTCATGTTGTAGGACTCTTCAGCAGTGCGTGTCCGCGATCCTGCTCGCGGGGTTCGAACCCAGGGCCTTCAGTCTCGCGCGCGAACGCCTAACCTACTCGACTACTGACGCGGCATCCAATGGTGTTAGTGTCTAAATATTTAATTTTCAAAATATCAATCCATCGTCTCAAACTTCACTGTTCCGTTTGCAAATATCAGTCCATTGTTTCAGATTTCATTGTTCATGCATTTTCATACCGATAGCGTTTCGTTCCCGTTCTCTCCTTATCGATCTTCTACTGAAATACATTCTATGCTTGACCACCGTTATTTACTACTTATGTGGATATAAGTAACCCACACCACACTATATTCTATATCATTGGATAATCACAACTGTAGACCATTTATCACTAGAAAAAATTTCAAACAAAAACTCATATCCACATGCAATCGAAGTGAACCAATAAAGATATATAATAATCGTAATTGTAAAGTAGTCTACAGCAACCGACATGTATACAAAGATGCAACATAATTAATAAGTACATTTTAGAGAATAACACTCCAATCAACAGTGTGATGACGAAATTTAAAAAATATTTTAGCGGTCTGCTTGGATATCTGAGCTACCTGTTTCTGACATCAACATATCTCAACAAGTTACCTATCTTTTGTCTGTTTTAACATGTCATTATGGCTCATAATCGCGTAACCTATTTAGGCGCGTTTATGGAAAGTTTACAATCTTTCACCGTACAACTTACAAAAAAAGTACAATCAGAGACATTGTGTTGCATGTCAATATGCATTGAAAAGAATGATCTATGTTCAAATGTCGATTTTTGAACTGTTAACATCTAACTAGTGTTAACTCAATATTTATCGTCAAGATAGATGAAGAAATAGGGAAAGAAAACTTGATGAAATACTTTGTGCTGAGAATTCTGTATTGTACCGAAAATATAATATTGAATAAATTCATTAATAATAATAACAACAGATAGATAGATTGTATTATTGTCAACTGAACATTGATGGTTGTTCGATCATATAAAACTCAAAAAGAAACTAATCGAGTTCAATAAGTGAAATGAGTTAGTTAACCTTTATTGTTTCTATCTGAAATATAATTATGGTTTAACAAAATAAAAACTAACAAATTTTTAGAGTAAACTAAATAAGATTATACATCTGTTCATTGTTTACTTGAAGAATTTTTTGATTTAATTCTTGTTTAATTTTGATACATTCAGACTGAGCTTCCAAAGTAAGTCGTCGAAAATTTCTTTGTTTCCAAGTGTATTCCATGAATTGTTTCCATCCAATAATTGCTTGTTTTAAAATATTTTGTTTATAATAACGATCAGCAAGTTTGACACAAAATGACTAGATTATGAAATTTAAAGAAAATAAATAAATAAAATTTTTAATTCACTTGGTATTGTTTGCTTGTATCGCCCTATTGTTGTTTAGAACTGCAATTGTTCGATCACTTATTAGCATATATGCATTCTGTATGGATTGCCTCCATATTGACTTAAATCACAAACATTATAAGAAAATATGGATAATGGTTAGCAGCGGAGTCTCAAATAGAATGAAACGTGCATCCTAGATTCCGCTACTAGCCACCATCGATATTTGCTTATAAAGACTATGAATTTTGTTTATTTTTCCCATAAAATAATATGGAAAATGAAGATACATTATGTAGACAAAAATTTAAATATCTGAATACAGCCTTCGTATGATATAGTCGTCCATAAATTATCTGGCATTTGTGACAATCTTGACTTCTAACAAAAGTAGACGAAATTTAAACAATGATAACATGAAAATTCACTGTTAATGTCTCAGTTAAGAAAATATTATTTGATATAAATTACTACGCGTCAATAATATGCTGAAATCCTGGCATGACTAGATAGCTAATTTGTGCTAATTCAAAAATATCCAACAGGGAGAACTTATGATCCTATTTGGGTTCAAATGGTCGATCTTCAGGTTTTCAGAATAACACGATATCCCTAAACCTTTCGACTTTAGTCAATCTATAATGAAGTAAGGTCTTCACTAAGAAATATGTGAGAGAGCACGATAATACTTAAAGCCGTTTGTGTAACTTTTTCAATGTTTAATTAAAGGTCAAGAGGTTATATATATAGCCAATATAACTTCCTTATTAATTCTTAGCTTTCTCGCTGATGTACCACGTTAGACTCGGCTATAGAAAACATATATATTAACATTTGATTGGACGACCGTCGAACGTACTACTAATTATATGTAATCGATTATTTACTTCTCTGACTGATGAACGAAGAATTCGTCGTATCAGTGGACTCAACACAATACATCTTAACACATTTAACTTATTGGATCTAGAAATTCACGGTATATATAATGACCAACATGATTATTTCCAACTAGGACTGAAATTTAATATTCAGTACTTTACACTTCAATTCTTTAACTCTGAAATGCATTTTAATATCTTATTGATAGTCTTTAAAGCCTTAAAACTGATTAAGTTGGTGTCAATAATCATAAGTCCAGATTTAAGGAAATCTCGTCTTGAAGTGTCAATACAAAATTTAAAACAAAGAAGTGAGAAACATAATATATCTGTTTTATTTTACATCATTTTATCATCCCATCAATCGAAAATATTTTATAACATCTGAAATTATTTTTCCAAATAAACAAATTAAATGATATATATATTGGATATAAGATGTTCCATAAATAGCTAAATGGCATTTTAGTACATGACTTTTAGATAGAAATCATGGACATATTTTAAGTCGAATCAAAATATTAACTTTTAACGAAACATTTTTAAATATGATTAGATCAAAGTCAAAAAATATATTTTGTTGTTGTTGGTACCAAACAGATTAAAAGACAATAAAATGACATCTAACCTGGAATGTTATCACTCATGTGAATGTACTTATACAAGTTTACAGGAAGTGTATACTAATGATCAAAAAACGTAAAAATCGATTAAATGTATTATGATTGAGATCACGAACCAATTGATGTTAGACCACCACATTTGGAACCCTGGAAGCACTGGACGGCCGTTTCGTCTTATTGTGGGACTCCTCAGCAGTGTGCATCCACGATCCCGCTCGCGGGATTCGAACCCAGGGCCTTTGGTCTCGCGCGCGAACGCTTAACCAACTGGACCACTGAGCCGGTATCCAATGGTGATAGTGTCTAACATCGACCAATCTACGAAATTGCGGGATCGTGGATGCGCATTGCTGAGGAGTCCCACAATAAAACGAAACGGCGTCCAGTGCTTTCAGGTTTCCAAAGGTGGTGGTCTAACATCAATCGGTTCATGATCTCAATCAAAAAATTAATAATCTCCACAACACCTATACTAGTAAATGTTTTATTACATAATAAGTTTTAAAAAAGTTTTTTAAGGTGAAACAATACTTACCTTTCTTTTGGCATTTTCCTTTTTCAGATTTATTTCCATTTGAATTTTTAACTTATTAATATTATCCGTTAAATCACAGATAATCTGTTCTTTACGCGCTATTGTACCTTCATGATTACGTGCAAGATCTCTTAAACTGATCACTTGTTCATGAAGCTTAATCATATCACTTTTTATACTAAAAATGATAATAAGTTTTAATTAATAACTTAATAATTTAATAGTTGAATTCATGATTCAATTAAAGCTAGACCACCATGGAAAATCTGAAAGAACTGGACAGCCGTTTCGTTTTAGTATGGGACTCCTCAGCAGCGCTCATAGTGTAAAAAATTGCTATGCTATTAAATTAATTTTTTCTTAAAAAAACAATCCATAGTAGATAGTTATTTTTTCACATAATTTGAGGCTTTACACTGATATGCATTTACTATTTCATACTTATGTAGAGTCGAATTTTTAATTGATAAAAAAGTCGAGTTCTATATGAAGATACCTAACTGTATATGGAATTGAAGAACTATTATATATCAGTAACTGATTAAAATTTGAAAATAAGGATCATTGACTATTAAATCCATGTTTTAAATGTAATATGCTTTCATTAAAGCATTAAAATCATGAGATCAATCCTTTATAGAATCAAGAATGTGTATAGTTGGGAAAGTTTTAATTGAAAGAGCTGCTCATCACAAAATGAATTGAAAAATAAACCTTTCTAACAGTCGTAAATTTATAGATGGAAATTATCTGTTTGAAATAAGGCTAGAAGAAATATAACATAAGAATAATGTGAAAACAATAATTAAAAAATATGTAGATAAATAAAGCATCCTGTAATGGCATTTCATATATTGTCAGCTGATTGAATTAACCTTTAAATGTTAGCAAAAGGTGAATTAATATAAATAGATTAGGCTAAAATTTGAATAATTAAGCAATATGTTATTTCTTATTAATCTGTGACTCGCCTTTGTTAATGTTAAAAATAAACAGAGAGGGGTTTTGTGAATATTATAATAATTTAATATTTGAATTCGTGAGTCAATTGACTCATCATATGCTCACTAGCGGCGGTCTCCAAGAGGTATTTTTGGAGTTCTAATGAGAAGCAGTGACCAGTGGAGTCCAACCGGGTCTGTCGTGAGATAGTAACTACCTGAAGACAATGGTGGGTGTGTCGCTCAATTTTCTGGATTAGCTGAAGTTAGACATTAACACCGTCGGATGCCGGCTTAGTGGTCTAGAGGTTAAACGTTCGCGTGCGAGACTGATATGTCCTGGATTCGAATCTCGCGAAGTGGGGTCATGGATGCGCACTGCTGAGGAGTCCCATACTTGAACGAAACGACCGTTAATTTTTCCAGGTTTTCCATAGTGGCCTAGCTTCAATTGACTCATGAATTCAACTATTAAATTATAAATAAACCATTCAAATTTAGCCTGTTTGTGGAAATAAGATTACTTCTCCCAGTGTTATAGTTTGGAACTGTTATTGATCAATTTGGTTATGTATGATTAAAATTAATCACGTTATAAATTTATTGTAGTATAGCACTGATATCCATAATTCAAGTTATTTTAAGAGTTAATAAAGATACATTGTTAATAAAATTTACCAATGTGTTCAATGGGTTGAGTAAAAACTAGTGATGTTAAGTTAAATTTCAATATAATAAACGTCAGTAAAACCGATCACACAACAATTAAAACTGTATACTTTTACCAATGGGTGGCAGGTTCATAAACATAATGTATTGTAGTGTAATGGTATTTATGAACGAAATATTACTCTACCTGAACTAAATAAGCTGATGTACTTACCAAAATATAAGATATTTAATTAGTCGTATATAATGTAGAAAATAATTCGTAATTTTTAAATATCAAAAGCTTTACTTAATTAATTAAAGGTTCTACCTAATTTCTAATTGTTCCTTACCTACTGGTATTTTCATTCCCGTGCATAAATTTAATAACTTTCGTCTGCCAATTTACTGGTTTTTGTCAGTTGTCTGTCAGTTAAACTATTATAGTATTTTTAGTCACCATTTTTCCATGCAGTGATCTGATCTCTTTTTTTCATATTTCATATTTCAAAATATTAAAAATTCTCATATTTTAAATTAGAATAACGTATATGAGCGAAAAATATAATTTTCACAATTAGGTATTCATCAAGCTCTACTTCAAGCCTTGACTTACTTCCTATGTTGAGAACTATTGTTATTTTTGTCATTACTAACACACTTATTATCACACTATCAGTTTATACCTTTCACGTATTGTATTTGGTTATATAATCTATTTTATTGTTATCATTAACTCATAAGTAGCGTGAGTTAGTTTAATATTTTTATGTATGCTTGTAAATATTTCTGTATATTAAACTAAAACCTGATGAAGTTTTGGGTAAAAACAGTGTTTTTGGTCGATAATTGATCATTTAATTTACCGTTGTTTGCCACAGTTATGTAAAAAAACAAAACTTATCTATGACACGGTTATTTATAACATAAAACATTGAAAAACAGTTTAATTGTGTTACCGTTTTAGTTCGACTGAAAAAAGACTTTTAACAGATGACATGATTTCTTCCTGAACTGACTGATAATGAACCTAAAAACAGTAAAAGAAGGTTTTGTAAATCCATCTACCTGTCAGAATCTTACTTCATATATATAGAAAGAGAGATAGATCAAATTTAATCTCAAAGTTACAAATATTACCTTGACCTACAGCAAAAGACAACTATATAACAGCCGATAAAATGTATAGCTCTCATTCTTCTAGAGAAATAAACGACTGTAAATCCGCGTGGAATGCAAATAATACCCACCACATTTGTGTTAAACTAACTAGTGATAAAACCTCAGCTGAACTAACGAAATAGCAAAACCATATATTTCAAGGATGGAATAGGAAAAACGTTACTAGCTAAAGTCTCTTCAAATGAAAAAGCTCTCCAAAATCTATAGCATTTAAAAAGACTGATAATAAATATTTTTATATGATATACAATAAACACGAAGTATTTGTTACATTTTTATGAGTACACTTTGTAATCTTTTGTCTATTATATGGACAAGTGAGTATGCTTTGTTGTATTCAGAACGACACAGATACAGTCATTTTTTATTGTATGGTCATTCTTTTGTGACTTCCCAATTAACTTGAACAATATTTAAAGCGTGACCTAGTAAAACTGCAGATATCTAATGCGGTATATACTATCATAGCTCACGATATTCATGAAAAATGGTACATTTATAGGTAACGTAGAAACAGTTATTTGCTATAAACTCGTTTCAAAAGTAAATGAATAGAAACTCTGTTTTATACCAAACCACAACAACTTGACTTTGTCTGCTCTTAGATCTAAAACTTAGACGTTTGTGCAGATTGAATTAACTTGGTTTTTCGAATGGCCAAGTATACTTGCCAAAAAGTAACTAAAATATCAAAGTTTTAATAATAAAACTGCTGAGAAATAAATACAGAAACTTTCCAGCACCAATCAAAGTAAATTCACACATAAAATTGAAATCAACCTGTAATTATGACTAAGAAATCTGCATAAGATTTGCGCTTTATCTATAAATCAACAGTGATATTTTCTCTAAGTGAAAAACACAAAAAATTATATGTGACATAATATGAAAAATCGTTTACACCGTAGTTTGAGATTATAAGCTGAGAAATAGAAAGACGTTTCGCAAAACTCATACAAAACGTGGCAAATATAAAAAGTCATAGAAGAAAGTTAAGTCATTTGATATAAAATACTTATGTTTATATAAAAAATTCTAGTCATCTTATCCTCAAAATAACGGCAAAATTACAGTAAGGTCAAACTATAACATCATTGACAAAGTAGCTTTTTGTGAGCTTCTATTACCTTAGTGTTAATATAAAGATGAGAATCGTCAAACCACGTGAATTAAAATACTCATGTTTGCAGTTATTGAACCACTTTGGCATTGGTGTGACAAAGTTAGGTAACACTATGTACGAAGATTTTCCACGTTTTGTAAAACTTAAACAATATGCAGAATATCTTATACACACCAAAAACCTAAGCCATCATTACAATTTTGAAGGTTTGATACATGCTAAATACTTGTCTAGAACCATTTCAAAGAATATTAGTTTATGTATCATAAACTAATATTTAAAAAAATCAACATGCATCTATGTTTCTCGAAAAAGAAATACTAGTTGAATGGATTAAGAGCTCTCAAAATAAAGCAAATGTTTACGTTATGAAACTTGCTAGTGATACAAGACTATGGAATCATAAAACATTTCAAAATAAATTTTAAATAAATGAAAATGTTGCAGATGACAATTAAATTTTGAACGCTAAATTACTTGATATTCAAGGAATTACAGTGAGAAAATGTAACTTCTCTGTTTTGTTGATTTCGAATTTTATCGCCAAAGATTTTCAGTTATCAACCTATATTACGACTTACCTCGGGGACGCTTTGCCCTGATCGTCTGAAAAGTTACTAATACAGTCATTTCAAAGACCATTATCGATTTGGGTGATGGAATGATTCGATATAAAACTCTTTACTTCTCACGATGAGTATGAGGTTTACAAATTCGTTGACAATTGTATTCACAACTTAAACATATAAACATAGACTATACAATACATATTTAGCAGCTGTTCTGAATACATATAGCAATCTGAAAACACTAATAGTCGAACATATGTCATCAAGTCTTTCTACGGTAACCGGGCTTTACAAAAAAAAGGTGTTTTACTCCTCAATTATAAACATCAAAGCGATGCGACCAAATAATAAGAGAGACTTCGTTAGTACTATTGATTTACGACAAATCATTCTACATAGATAAAATGTTCTATTATATAATTATTTAAGATGTAGTTTTAGTGTATAATACGTCATCAATATTATTTTCATAACCGTAAACTGATAATCACACTGATAACGACCAACATTGGATCTATTAAATGCATAAATCATTTGAGAAACTACAATTACTGTGCTGAAAACTGTACTTTGTAAGCAACATTTGGTTTTGTATTCCCTTAAATTGCGATGAATAACTACCTGGACAGTAAACAGTTGTAAGTCTTAGCCTTTCGAAATAGGTTTTATTACCATAAAACGACTGAGTAAATCTTTTTACTTGAAGTTCCATCAGTGTACGGAAGCGATTACTAAAATAACTGAAGCCACATTTGAGCTTGATAAAAGTATCACCATCAAGAAGCTGATTCTGGAAATTTAGCTACAGTACCACAGGAAGCTATAATCAAAATGATTGTTTCATTATCATCTAAGGTTATTGTATTAATTAATTCTAGAAAAACAAACTTTAAGAAATTTTTAAATCCTATGGAAATGGGCTATAGATATCTTTTCATTCACCCCAAACATATTCTAACTCGATTCCTTATCTAGTTCCATCTCATAATGAACATCACTGTCATGTAAACAAAGTAGTAAATTATTTTATAATTCGTTGGCTAAGGGATTCCCCAAATACGATATATAGGTCGTAAGTTCAACAATCAACATCAGCCTTTATGCTTAATTGAAAAAATAACTCACAGTCAAATTTTCTTTAAGTTTTGATGCGGCGTGATCATAGATTGTATTTATATCACTTAGCTTAGTGTCAGAAAAGAGCTTTTCATGCTTTATCTTATCAAGATCAATTAGTTCATGGGAATAATCACATATTCCTGTCATATATTGTTTGGAATGTAAATACATTGAATCAAGACATCCATTAGATTCACTGCTAATTTGTGTTTCATTATTGTGCAAATCTTTATTTCTGCTACTGTTATCGGCTTCTGTAAAACATGGGAAAAATCAGTGGAAATAAACAGCACCTTATAAAAAAGCGATAAGATATTAATTAATGACTAGGTACTATTTCTTTTGTATAATATGAAACGTATATAATAATCTCAAACTTTCTATAGTCCATGGAATGTTGTGTTACCTCAAAAACACTTTGTTAAATTATTTTCCAAGCGGAACTTTCTTTTCATTAACATTACTACTGAACATGTATGTATAGGATATGTCTTTTGTGAACTGCAGTAATCAAAATTGGTCGAAGTTCATAATCTGATACTGATTTGCACTCTACAAGTAATTCGGTCTCTTAATGTAGCGGCAACCACCTATTGCTGGAGACCTTATAGTTTACTCTGCCTCTTAATGACAACTTAACAAATCTGCTAGAAAAGACGAGATAAGTATTTATAAACAAAAACAATAGTTAGCGATCCTACTTGTTTGAACACCGTGAAAAGTGAGTACATTTAAAAAAATTGGGATTCAATCATTAACTTATCATCCAAACTAAAAATTGATGAGTCTTTAACATTTTATTTTTACTTTGTTAGTTTCAATGAGATTACATAGGTCAAGTTGATAAACTGTTGTCTATGTACTTGCCTTAATTACAAGACTTTCATTCTACTTTAAGTGGCTAGTTAAGTAGTCGTTTTGTCTCCTACGTTTGCAATAGTTTAAGTGCACAATTTTATCCTGACTTATACTGTTTTTTTCCATAAACAATCCACTAGTTACATACATGTTATCAAAGTAAAGCGCTTAGAAATCCATATTATCAATGTCGTCATATTCCGCAATATGACGTTATCGACAACTTACACTTTGTGCAAAAAAACATTACATATGAGCTTCAACCGCTCTTGCTATTTTTATATGATCAATAAAAATAAAACTTGGATATTGACACCACAAATATTTTCGCTCTCTCTGCCCATTATTTTCTCCAATACATAGGTTTCTACCTTTTAAAATCTAATCAAATTTATTATTTTTGTCGAAAAAAATTCATCGAATTACCTTCTTTCAAACCTTTTTTCATTTTATGGAGCTGGTATCGTACCTAGATTTTGTGCCATCCCCGACAAAAAAATCGCTCGCAAACCTCCTTTAGTCTCAAAAACGTCAATCTTATTCGATACATACATAAAGGGCTTCAATGCGGTAGGGTTTTTGAATTATTAAAAGCTCACAGTTAATCGTAAACAAATGACGAACTTATCAAGGCCAAAACACCTACATTTCGTACTACTATATATAAATTCCAGTGATTTGTATAACTTATTTAGCATCTGATTATTTCATAGATATATATAAAGGTAAAACTCGCGAGATGTCTACATGGGGTCATCAGATGATATTAAGTTGAAGAACAGTGCAATGATCTTGATTTATTGGAAACAAATCATAAATTTTAGAGAATAAAACAGTGGCTAGAAACCAACCTGGATTATATTCACTCGTGTTTGATGAGTCTTTTGAGTATGAAAAAGTATCATTTATATCAGAACTGCGACCTTCAGATAACATCCGAAATTTCAAATGTGAGATTGTTTATGTTTACATAATGACAATGCGCAAAACAACTGCCCAAAATTAATTTCATACTTAGGAATAAAACATTCTTTCGGTTTTGAACTGTGTGCTTTCAAGTCAAAAATTCGGTAATACAAAGCAATATTGAGGTCGTGTATTTAAACCTTCCTCTAATATTAGTTCGTCACTATCTGTGTACGATCTGCAGCACTTAGTCTACAAATTATGATTCGTCGTCTCATCTTTATTTCGCTGGCTGCCTGCGACTACATATTTATCTCTACGCAAAAGTTGGTCAGTGGTTTTGATTAGTCGAGTCAGCATTTAATCGATAGTTGAGGGTGTGAAACCTAATCATCATCGGTGACAGACTACAAACATGAATGAAATAGCGATACGTTATACATCCTAACTCCAGAAGTTGTCTTCACCCTATGATAGAATGCGAGGTCTGCATGCCGGTTCGAAAGTAAAATACTAGATAGTTCCCGAGATGAGCATGAACTGGAACCGAGGTTTGGCATGATGGACTCGTGTCGGTGAAATTTGAGAGAGCCGTTCCTTGTATTGAGGTAGGTTCGAATGTCTCTTTTGCTTGCTAATGACTTCTCTGACCTCGTCAATTCATGGCCAGAGAAAAATTGTCTCCAGAGCACCAATGGAAACAGCACGGTTATAGATTGTGTGGTATAAGGATGAAAAATATGCATACCAATAAAATGTACGTTAGATAGCAGTAGTCACGGTTAACGACGACAAGTGCATCGATAATAGGTAAATATAGGCAGTATCTATTCAACAGTTATGAACAAATTAATCGATTGTGTTCCCTTTGATAATTTTACCACTTATATTGATCATACTTCTATTTATCAGGTCGTCGAAAAATCGCTATTAACTCGCTTATAAATGTTTTGATCCTGCCACTAAAACTGGCATGTCTCGTGCAACACATTATTTGAGAATCAGCTATGATGATGTTGGTGGGTCAAGGAGTGCCAAAACAGTCGAAACATTAACACTTTACAGTTTATCCACATATAATGAGTTTATATTGCTATCATTTTAAAAAAGATCTCATGGTGTGATCGTAGCAGCTGAGAAGTAGTGTCTGAGATTTTAAAATTGAACAAAATAGGCAGAGCGTAATATCACTTTCTTCATATACAGTAACAACTGTGTTGAACTTAGGTCCTGGTAAATATTTTAATAGTCCGATACATATAAACATATATACCTAGACAAAGACCACTATTTTGGGGTCTTTTTAAGCATTTACCAAGGGTTTATTCAATATAAGCAACTAAAAGAATAATACGACTTACGTGGGGAGACGAAACCGATCGGTAATTTGACGTGTGAGATAAAAGTAAATTGAATACCGAACATTAGTTGATGTAGCAAATCTCGCCCATTTAACCAAAACTTGGGACGTATTGAAGTTGAATTGGTCCTTCTTATGAAAGGCTGCTGCTAGCTTAGTACCTAGCCTAGACTATGTTGAAACGATTTTTCAATGCCGTAAGTCGTTTTATAGCCAGTTAATCTTCTACGAAACATTAAACTAAGCATTTTCGCGACCACAACTTGCTGCGAGTGACGTTTCAATGAGACCGTGCACGACTATCGTAAGTGAGAGTAATTAACATATTTTATTAAGTATCGTAAACACAACAAAAGTTCATCTAATGAGACCGTAGAACTCTCCTGATATGCATTCCTGAATAATACATAACAGTACTTGTGAAGCAGAACTTACCAAATGTTGTGTTCAGTATAATGTCGGATTTGTGTGGTTAAATAAAATAGGGTGAAAAATAATCCAAACCAAATATACCGCATAATCAGAACGAATGAGTGATGGAATGTCGCTACTTAATGGATGATTGGTGTCAAAAGTGACAACTGAGCACTAAAATAGCAACATGTGTATGTCACACGACATGCGACTTCTAAATAAATGAATTACATAGGGTAAAGTCACACTTAAGTTCATTGGATATCACTGACTCATGAGAATTCGGGTACTCGTGAGCTGCAGAAAGTCTGCACTAGAGCATTGGATAATAAATACCGACCTCAAAAGGACAGGACCGCAGTCGGTCAAAATTTTAACGGGTAATTTGTTTGTAGGAAAATATCATTTGGGTGCATTTTAGGAGCTAATAGACTTATTTTAACATCAAGATGTGGGCAAGGTTTAGGACTAATTAGCTTGTATTCGCTCACCTTAACATTTGCTTATCGCACATTGAACTTCGATGAGGTCTACTCGGAGTACTATGTAATTATCGCTTCTCATAGCCACACTACTGACACACCAGTCAAAGTATCAGTGCTTTTGGCTCATAAAGTCTTAAACTTGTTATGTCACCTGAGCCTTATGAGTTACATTCACAAATGTCCTCACCTCTTGCTAACATCATCTCAGCATACCTCACAGTGTTGTCCGGTATGCTGTGTCAATGGAATTGACCACCAAAACGTCGTTATTCCCATCTTATTGTGTTCTTTCAACCTCCATAACTCCAATATTATTGTTATTCACAAACGGCTTATAAGTACATAAGTGTTGAGAGGAAACCATTTCGAATTTCTTCATAAATGCAATAATACACAAGTCTCAATAATGTATGCATTACTTGCCATATTTGAAAAAACAGGTTCCGTGGAATTGAGAAGAATATTCAGTTGACTTTAAAGAAAGAAAGGGACAAGAGTATGGAGTAGAAATGAAGGAAACGCAGTTTGTAAATAGTTTATTAAGTGTGTCTGTGGACACAGAATAAGGACAATCGATTATGTATGTATCGCCCAATATATAAGAAAAGGAGAAAAAAATAAAGGATTGAAAATAAATAAATAAGAAAATTACTTGTTATTGCAGTAAGATTTTGCGGTAGGACAATTGTTTGTGTAGTAGTAGTTTAGAGTGATGCTTAGAAAGTCTCAATTAGTTGCAAAGAATGATAGAATATCAATATGCATGAGTCATTTGTATGTAATGATGATAAACTGAATCTGGAAAGTTAATTTGTCTAAGTGTAACACAAGATATTGTCTTCGACACAAACTTCCGATGCTCAGGAATAATAGTTGTTTAGAAAGAAGATAAAAAAAATAAACGAACAACTACTGACAGGGTTCGACGATGATAATAAGGGCGTAATAAATATCGACCTCTGAAGAAAACCATTACTTTTTTTAGTTTTTCACTGCGTTCAGGCAAATACATGTAAATTGATGTGAAGGGATACAGAGTAAAACTTGACATTAGTACAAACTTTTCTGCAATAATAATTTAGAGTGATGCTACGAAAAACACAATCAATTGCAGATAACAGTCAAATATCCATTTCTAATTGTAATATATATGTGGTGAGGATCAAATTAACCTGACAAGCTAATTTACTTAGGATAATTTGTCTTTAGTTTAGGAACATAATATGTTTGGAGGGAAAAGAAGGGACGAAAAAATATCTAATGTGCTATAGGTCGAGTCCAGGTATAGACTAGTGATTATACCTGGTATAGTGGTTGGAGTTTTAGAAGAAAGCTTGGGGTGGGTTGTTGGGTCATGTAGAATAGTATGATCTGTTAACCCCAGGACAACAAGAGTTTCGGAATAAACAAGTCTGCCTTTATGACTTACGAAAGAGAGAAGATATTGAAAAATTTCCAAGGTAGCGGTTTGCCAGTTTACGTGATATTCATCCACTTTGGCGAGGGATTTGATTAGATGTCAGCAGCTTTACAACTGCAGAATGATTTAAGGAGTAAATTGATCACTACCTGCGAGGAAACTGATAAAAGCAGTGTACGGTAAAGCGACATATTAGGTCACCTGTTATATTACTTACTTACTTACTCACGCCTGTTACTCCTAATGGAGCATAGGCCGCCGACCAGCATTCTCCAACCCACTCTGTCCTGGGCCTTCTTTTCTAGTTCCATCCAATTCTTGTTCAATTTTCTCATGTCTATCTCCATTTATCGGCGTAATGTGTTCTTTGGTCTTCCTCTTTTCCCTTGACCTTCAGGATTCCATGTGAGGGCTTGTCTTGTGACGCGGTTCGGTGCTTTCCTCAATGTGTGTCCTATCCACTTCCAGCGCTTCTTCCTGATTTCTTCCTCCGCTGGGATTTGGTATGTTCTCTCCCACAGTTGGTTGTTGCCAATAGTGTCCGGCCAACGGATCTGAAGTATTTTGCGTAGACAATTGTTAATAAACACCTGTATTTTCTGGATGGTGGTTTTTGTAGTTCTCCAGGTTTCTGCCCCATACAGTAGAACTGTCTTGACATTTGTATTGAAAATCCTGACCTTGGTGTTGATTGACAGTTGCTTTGAGTTCCAGATGTTCTTCAGTTGTAAATATGCTGCCCTTGCTTTGCCGATCCGCGCCTTCACATCTGCATCAGATCCACCCTGTTCATCAATCATGCTGCTCAAATATGTAAATGTTTTTACATCTTCCAAATCTTCTCCGTCAATTTTTATTGGATTGGTCCATGCTGTGTTGTATCGGAGAATCTTGCTTTTCCCTTTGTGTATATTGAGACCTATTGCTGCTGAGGCTGCTGCTACACTGTTCGTCTTCTGCATTTGTTTTTGCGTTTGGGATAGAAGGGCCAGATCATCTGCGAAGTCTAGATCATCCAACTGCATCCTAGATGTCCATTGAATCCCGTGTTTCCCTTCAGATGTTGACGTCTTCATGATCCAGTCGATCATCAGGAGAAAGAGGAAGGGTGAGAGTAAGCAGCCTTGCCTGACGCCGATCTGTACCTCGAACGAGTCTGTCAATTGTCCTCCATGCACGATTTTGCAGTTTAATCCATCATAGGACGTCCGTATGATATTGATTATCTTATGAGGTACGCCGTAGTGTCGAAGAAGCTTCCATAGTGTTGTTCTGTACACGCTATCAAATGCTTTTCCGTAGTAAATGAAGTTGATGTAGAGTGATGAATTCCATTCAAGTGATTGTTCCACAATTATCCGTAGAGTTA